CAGGTGCCGCTCAGGACCAGCAGGGGGCGCGCGGGGCCCACAGAGCAGGAGGCCGGGTCAGGAGCAGGTGCAGGGAGGGCGGGGCTTGCTCATCTGCTCAGTGCTCTCCCTCCTCACCAGCACCTCAGCTGTCCCCAGGGCTCCTCTTTCTTTATTATCTGTGGTTCTGCTTCCTCACATCCTTGTGCCAGGAAAGAAAGGAGGAAGACAGGCCCGGTGCGGTGGCGTGTGGCTGTAATTCCCGCCCTTTGGGAGCTCGAGGTGGGCAGATCGCAAGATCAAGGAATCGAGACCATTCTGGTCGACGTGGTGAAACCCCGTCTCTTCTAAAACTACAAAAGTTAACTGGGCGAGGTGGCGCGTGCTTGTAATCCCAGCTACTCAGGAGGCTGAGGCAGGAGAATCGCTTGAACCTGGGAGTCAGAGGTTGCGGTGAGCCCAAACGGAGCGAGACTCCGTTTAAAAAAAAAAGAAGAAGAAGACAAATGTTCCTCTTGCAGTCGAAGTTTCACCAGTACTAGGAACTTTCTTACAAGTTCCTGAATGGCCCACTTTTTCCTTCTTGATTAAAAAAATATATATTCTAATGTTTCTCACCATCTCTTGATTTGTGTCATCAACTGAATTGTGCCCTCTTTGAGATTCATATGCTGAAACCTTCAATTCAGTGGATCTACATTGGAATTTTAAGTATTTAATTAAGATTAAATGTGGTCATACATGTGAGACCCTAATGCAGTAGACCTGTTGTCTTTATAAGAAGAGGAAGAGACACCAGAGACCTCTCACTTTTCACGTGCACACAGAGAAGAGGCCATGTGGAGACGTAGTGCACTAGAAGGTGGCCCAGTGCAAGCCAGGAAGAAGCCAGACCAAGAACCAGCCCTGCCAGCACCTTGGTCTTGGACATTCAGGCTGCAGAATTGTAAGAAAATCAGTATTTGTTGTTTACACCACCCACTCCTGTTGTCTTCTTGTGAAGACCCACACAGACTAATACTACATAACTCTGTTAGCTTTGTGTCCTAGAAGGAGAAGCAGCCCCCTGAGGCTGGGCACATCTCTCAGATTTCCATATAAAGTAGGCAAAAATAGTAACTCTCATAAAAAGAAACATGTCATGGCCCTGTTGGCCATTTTTTAAAAATTTTAAGACAGAGTCTCGCTCTGTCGCCAGGCTGGAGTGCAGTGGGCGATCTCGGCTGACTGCAACCTCCACCTCCCGGATTCAAGCGATTCTCCTTCCTCAGCCTCCCGAGTACCTGGGACTACAGGTGCGTGCCACCACTTCTGGCTACTTTTTTGTATTTTTAGTAGAGACGGGGTTTCACTGTGTTAGCCAGGATGGTCTTGATCTCCTGACTTTATGATCCATATGCCTCAGACTCCCAAAGTGCTGGGATTACAGGTGTGAGTCACTGCGCCAGGCCTCTGTTGGCCATTTTTGGGGCAAGGTCTCTGAAACCAGCCCTGGCGTCTGTGCCACAAAAGTTGTCTTTTATTTGGACATAATAAATGGACAGTGAGTGCCAGCTGGATGGAGACTGACCAGTGACCATCTTCTGCTGTCTCCTAAGTATGTCAAAGAAAAACCACACCAACATCACTGTTTTTCTTCAACCTCCTTGAATGAACTATAGAAATGATCCCTGAAAGTATAGTCTATTCCTTCAACTTTCTCAATTTTTACTGAATCTCTTCCTAAATAAGGAGCTACATGGGGTCTGAGTTCTGTTTCTTTCTTCCCAGTTTTCCCCAAGTACCAAGGGCAGAACAGACTTTCAATGAAATTTGGCTGTCACTGCCCCCAGCACCACATCACTCTCTAAAATCCATATCCTGCATCCATCCTTCTCTGGACACCCCTCATCGGGCTACCCAGGAATGGCCAGAAGCTGGCATCAGCTTCTGGACTGAGGTCATGAGTTATACACACATGTGATTTCAGTTACACAGACTCTACTGCAGG